CCCTTTACACAAAACCTCAAATTAGATATGCAGATGGACCAAAAAAATGGTTGCGCTATTTGTGTTATTAAAAAGAAAAAGTGGAAATAAGTCTTTCTAAATGAAGGAAGTTGAGGTTTGTGAGAACCTGTTTTTTCTATATACATATATATAAATTATTATTTAAAAGAAATATTCATACAACATATTAATTATTTATTAATATAAAATTTTTTTATTTAATATTTATTGTGAAGACTTATATGTTATTAAAAGTTGATATAGATCCAAATTTCTATTGAGGAATTGGATTTAATCCTCGGATTTGTTGACTTTGATCCAAGTCCTTTGACTTTTATGCCACATAGAATTAGATTCCTTTTTTAATATTTTATGATGTAATTTTTTTTATTTTAAAATCATTTGTTGTTTCAATATTGACCCTTATGACTTGAATCGGGTAATAGTCATTTATGTCATATTGCTTATTGCATAGGTATATATATGTTTTTTCATATTTTCAACAATGAGTAATAGTATTTTATGTACCTTTTTTTTTATAGGTAACATACAATTTTATTTTGTCTATTTTTGTATCTGACTTATAGGTAGTCTTCTAATTTATGTTCCTAACTTATAAGTAATATGATTTATCACTAAGTATTTTTCGTTGCTAATAATAATACTATTTACTTGCATGTCAGGTACATAATTTAATGGGTGCTTGTCTGATCGATTGGTATAATATGTGGGTCTTTACTTTTTATTGATTAAATTGTATTTTATCCATATATTAGGAATACTATCAATGAAAGAATTCAAAATTTAAATTCTGGAATTCAATTACAAGGAAATAATGCATTAAATTTAGATTTTCAATGTGTTTTCCTTATTAACCTTAAATGGTAAAATCGACACAAAAAAAAAAAGTAATAAATGTCAAAGGACCTGCATCTAAAACAAAAAACGCGACACAACATTATTCTCTTACTTTTCTGTCTTATCTTTTGGTGGTTTAAAATATTTTTTGGTTGCATATCCGCAACCCCTCCTATAAGTATCAACCTTCATTACTTTAATCATTCATTCCAATTCTTTAGAATAGATTTCTACCATGAAGTAGTGTTTGAGAGAAACAAGATGAAGAACTTGTGTGTTTATCTTGCAATATTTCATAGAAGAACTGCTTCGTTCCTGATCTGTTTATTAGTCTTTTCTTCTGCGAGCTCCTCTCACTCAGGCTTATCTTTTCTCTCTCTCTCTCTCTCTCTCTATATATATATGTTGTCAGGGTACATGAGATTATGAAAAGAGATAGCAATAAAAACCCAACTTCGAGTCGAAACGCTTTATTAGCAAGAATCTTAATCAATCAGGTTGATCTTCCTGGATTCTTCTCGAGTTCAGAGTTGCAATATACTATAAAATGGACTTTTACTTGTCAACTGTGGATACTTAAACTTCATGTACAAGTCTGTATGCATTCATGCATGTACATATAGATACACACGCATACAAACATACACATAGACAACAAAAATTAAATATAGGTAATATTTGTAGATAAATAAGTCCCATATTGCATACGTGTATCTGACAATGTATGGTTTTGGAATCTTTCAGATTGGTAGGAAATTGGTGAAGCAGACTGTAATAACTTAAGTATATGGTGTTACTTATGTTGGGCACGTGAACAAATAAAAAGAAGATTAGAAGAGTAGGGTCTTATTACCGATGACAGACTACTGTTCACTGCAACTTGCTATGCTGCTAAAGTAAGTGAACAACCTCCTAAGTGTTCCAGCCACCAAATTTCATCCTTCTATTTGTGAATCAAGAATTAACTGCAGAAATTTCTTGGTTTTATCATTTGGATTATCAGCTAAAATTAAAAAACGTCCTTCAACATTGTTATTAAATCTAGATTATATTTACTAAATTTCATCTTTGCCAGGTTACTCTGGTTGCCCTTGGAGAGCTATTCCAAGTTGCGCGTGGCATAATGAGCTGGCTTGGTGATTGTGCTAAGGTATGTAATTTTTTGGTCATGTTTTAGACACTAAATGATAGGCTGGACTGTCTGGTAGATATGAGAGTTAAGTTGTGCTATGAAACTTTTGCAGGTAATTGCAGCATAGTTAAAGATTAATTTTCATTGACATGCAAACCCACATTTGGCTGAATTCCCTCTTAGATGAAATTGTTTAGTACACGATATCCAGATAGGTTGCATTTGGTCTTTGTCTTCTTGTCGCTAATGGGTTCATGTACTTTTTATTATTATTAACTATTCTTCCCCTGGAGTTGCAGATAAGAACATCCCTTCAGGTTTTAGCCTTGCAACGAGAGAGTAACTCAGTAAGCTTACATATCTTCTCTTGTCTTATCTTTTATGAATTGCTATAGATTTGATATATTCTCCAACTGCAGGTAGATGTTAGAAAACAAAGAACTGCATTATCTTCAAATTTTATACACTTGACGGTTCACACATGATGATCCTGCAGGGACGCTGGCCTACATTTTGCAGGTTTGTCTCAATAGTCTAGTCTGTAACTCTGCATTAGACTGGCTATGTTGCACTTTTTTCATATTTTCTTATCTCTTCAATCCCACACCACAAAAAAAGAAGAAGAAGAAAAGCTCTGAAAAATCGACCTAGGCGGCTCGTAGGCACTCCTAGGCGGTAGACGGGAGAACACCGCTGCGAGTTCACCCTAAATGTTAGGGGTAGGCGCAAGGGAGTTAGGCGGAGCTTGGGCGCCAGCCTAGGCCGCTTAGGTGGGTCGGGTGGCTGCTTCTCTACTCTTCTCGACCCAACCATTGGCGGCGACGACTTCTTCTCTACTTGTCAGAGGTATCTTTGAATTTTTTTTTCTTTTCTTTGTAGCTGTTGCTGGGCTCACCTAATTTCAAGGGCACGCAAGAGGAGATGATGGAGGCAGAGAAATGAAGGCTAAGAGACGGGGAGGTGATGGAGGCGGAGAGATGAGAGATAATTGAGGGTAGGGTTCATCCAAAAAACAAGTGAAGAGAAACGCTGTGTTTCACTTATGGGATGCTATTTTAACAGTTTTTTTTTTTTTTTTTTTGGGTAACAAGGGGGGCTAAAAGCCCAGCACATAAGAGTCCAATTTTTTGGAGTATAACATTTAGCAGGAGTGCCATGGTGTTTGTGGGTTTCACGTTCACCCAACTTGCGATAGAGGTGGTAGCCTTGTAATGAGTCTCACACTTACAAAAACAATGCAAGAGGTGGTCTCATTGTACCCGCATCCATTGAAGACTTTTTTCGTGGGAAATGATTTTTAAAATAAAAAATATTTCGTTTTGGTTCTATATATTACTTTTCATCTTCTCTTACATCTGTTTTTTATTTTATTTTATTTATATTTATATTTATATTTTATTTAAAAAATATAATTGAAATCTTCTCAAAACTCTCGTTTATGTGTCTCTTCTCCCTATCTCCTTTAGTTAGGAAACATAAAACAAAAATAAAAACTTCATCGAAGTGATCAAGAGAAACTACCTTTTCCTCTGGATGGTATCTAAGAGACAGAGAGACAGAGAGACAGAGAGACAGAGACATAGAGAGAGATGAGAAATTGTATATGGGAATTAGATTTCATTGATGTAATTAACGAAGATACATAGATGTCCTTATATAGGCATGATACAACAATACATATCCTATGAATTAGCTATTTACCAAACATGGTTCCTAAACTATTGCAATCATATCTTCCAGACTAAGTAAATATCAATTACAAGAATCAATTACGACAATTATGCATATGATGATCATCGAATATCTTAACACGCCTCCTCAAGTTGGTGAGTGGATATCATACACTCCTAACTTGCCAAGTAGAAAAGAGAATGGTGCCTTGCCTAGTGGTTTCGTAAACAGGTCAGCCAACTGCATCTTTGTGGGTGTGTACATTGTGGAAATTAGCCCAGAAACAAGATGTTGTCTCACTAGGTGGCAGTCGAGCTCAATATGTTTTGTTCTCTCATGGAAGACAAGATTCTTGGCAATATGTAGAGCCAATTGATTGTCACAATGAAGTGCTGTAGGTTCAGGATGTGGAACGTTCAAGTCCTTGAGTATGTATCTAAGCCAGTTGATTGAAATTTGAATGTTATATATATATTTTTTTAAAATTCAAATCTGCCTAAAAAAATGAGTTCCACAAGTGCCACATCATCATTTAATGGTTTCAACTTATTTTATTCTACATAAGACCCAAGAAGCTACAATGATCTTAGAAACAATCACAAGGTCAGGTTTATGTGTTTGTCTAGATCTATTGGATTGCTAGGTCAATATACGAACTTGACTGTAAGATATGTCTAACCCTAATGGCGTCTGATGGAGTGATATATCTTAGCAAAGCAATGTTAGATCTTAATTAGTTTCGAAAGTGAAATTTTAAAACTGTTTTCAACTGCACAGGAAAAAAAAAAAACACGATTTAGTTAACATTGACAACAGGGAACCTCCATCTTAAGAAAACTCCCAAAAGTTGATTAAACTCAATTATTTATCCTAATTCTTAAGGATTTAGGCTAATGACTGTTAGGATATTGGAGTTTATTAAGTTGTATGTGTTGGCGAGATATCCTAGTCTTTTTAGGATATTTCTTTCTTATTCTATTAGGATTTAATTTGTTTTCTTTTTGTATAGATATTATGTAATTATGACTTTTCTTATTTCCTAGTATAACCCTACTAAGGTTTGTAACCTTGTATTATAAATACCTCATTTCAGAGAATGAAATACATCTGAAAATATTCTACCCATATTATTTGACTTGACATCAGAGCCGACTTTCTGGTGACTTGTGTGTGTTGTGCCCACTCGTGTGTGTGCCCTAATTCCTTTTAGAGTTCTTGGGCCTATGACTGTGCTGTGTTTGTCGTATCTATATGTATATTTATACAATTTCTATTACATTCTTAAATTACTAGAATCCCATTACACCTGAAAAGGGCTTTTCATTAAAGTAATGGACCATCATATAATCGATTGATCCTCTTCCGCAAAATAACTCCACAATTTGAAGAAAGGCAACAAGATCATAGCCAAAAATAACATCAATATTACAGATTTAAACATGCGACCCCATTGAAGTTAAACTTTTCGGAGTGCAGAAGCAGACATCAGAATCAAGATTACAAAGATAACAACTGCGACGAAGGCTGAAACCACAGCCCCGCTGGATTGCTGGCAGAAATCACCAAATTGTTGGCAGATAGCAAGCCAATTTGCATCTGAATTGCCATTGTGAGACAAGTAAACTATGGCAGCCGCAGAAGCAGCACAAGAAGTGTTCAACGTAAGCGCCAGCTATCACATAAATCAACGAATTTCCATGTCAACATATATATATATATATATATATCTGAAGGAATGTCCAAACAAAAGTACGTACACTTAGGGTTAGGACTAATGTGTAAGAAAATGAGGCAGCTTACAGTGTCAAAAATAAGCAAGAGAAGCCTTGGAGCAACTGCATGGGGACGAACAATGGTTACAATGGAGAAGGGCAGGGAGAGGACTAGGTAGGCGCCCACTATCCCCATTCCTATGACGAAAAACCTGCATTTACATATCCAAGTTTCAGAGTGTTTAATGTGTTCTATATTATAGTACATGCACAAATAGTGTAAGAATTGATCAAATTTGGATTTTATGAAACCACACGTTATTTTAGACCATATTGCTAACATAAGTGTTGTTCACAATGTGATACGTATATATAGTTTGCAAGGGAAAGATATTTAAGAGTGAGGGACGTACGTGAAAGTAGGCAAGTCGTCATAACTAGCCTGGAATTGGAAGAACTGTGTGAAGAAAGGAAGAGTTTGCTCGCTAGACCCCATGGCAATGGCAGCGCCTAGGGCAGCTGCGGTAGCGCCAAGCCTGAGAATGAAGTCGAAAATGGAAATGCCCTTTTTCCATCCTCCCTTTTGATCATGCATGGGATGAGCTGCTTGTATCCTCACATATGGCGTTTCTCCTTTAGCAACCGTCTTATTTCTTGACTCTGGAATGTTAATTGTGGTTGAATCACCGCTAGTGCTCTTCATTTTGGCTCAGAAAAGGGACTGTTTAAATTGGACTTAATGAGAGAGATATGGAGAAGCTTTTGTGATTGAACTGTTGATGGGTTGGGTTTTTATATATGGAGTGGCAAATGTGATTTCGTTAAGGAAGTCGAATTTAGAATTCTCATTCTCAAGTAAGATATTTCTTTCCGTCTTGCTTTTCCTTTTAATAAAAAGGGAAGAGAAGTCGTTGATATCTTTTTCCACCAGTCCTATAATTAATCACAAAGTGGAAAGGTGCGACAGGTAGATGTTAGCATGAAGTGGTTGCATTATAGAATCATGTCAAAACTATATAAAATTAACAATTAATTAATGCATGCATTAATGTGTTTTTAATTTGTGATTCAGTTGACTAAACCACACCATTCTACCGTTTCTTTTCCCTCTCTATGATTTAGGTATGCAATAATACAACAAATGTTACATATATACACATAACATGTTAAAGGATTCGAATTTGGGACATTTTCTAACATTGAAAGAGGTACCTAAGAGATTAGTTGGGTAGTTGATTTTTATATTTGCGGTCAATGATTTAATACATTCATGCAATGACGGGCCCCAAATTCATGTTGGGAT